ATCTGGATTACTTATTCATGCAGTTGTGTTGAATGATGGGGATTGCTATTGGATTTCTGAAGTACACAATACACGTGTAGAATAACTTACGTGTTCATATATTGTGAAGGAATTGTGATTTAGTTCAAAAGTTTTCTCTTCCTTCCTTACATCACTAAACAGTGTTTGATACTGTTCTGATAACTTCACTTTATTTGGCAGATTATGGTCCCAACAATTTTCAACTGCTGTCTTACGGGGCAGTAGAATGTACCCACTAAGCTGCTGTCCTCAATAAAACATCCCATGCGATTTTGAATTGATTTCTCTCCTTGTCTACCCGTCATTCCCCGTGCATGCTTTCCTCTTCTGGTATTCATTAGACACGTCATTATATCAGTAACCCTTGCAACAGAAATGACGTTAAAAGACTGAAGAGAACAAAACTAAATGTCGAGCAAAACAATGAGTTGACGGCAGATTGTAGGTAGTAGTTGGTCAAAAAGATCATAGAAGTCGCTACGGCAGCAGACCATACATTGTGATTGTTCCCGCGGGGGTAGAGGAAACCCCGTCTAACATTACTTAACATTCAGATATAGATTAATTCTGAACAAAATTGATCGCGCCATAAAGACATTGCAGTTTTTGTGCATAAATCATACCAAAAAAATACAATAGTCGTAACCTATCTAGAGGACTCGGATGACCTTTCCAAGTTTGATTTGAATAGCACTTGAGAAACTGAGCTAAATGCAAAACTTTAATGCCCAGCTTCTTAGCGTCGCTGATCTTAAGATTTTTACATAGGAACACTGTGACATGAATGCTCATTTTTATTTTCATTTTTAAACGACTCTTAGCTGCTTCGTTAGGTCTGTATAGTAATTTCTTCAAGCGACCATAGAGCTTTCACTGCATCTATAATATATAACAGTGATACCATAACACAGTGGCTATGACTAAGCATGGACTCTCTTGGCTTGTGGTTCCAGATCTTGAATCCATGTTTCGTTTAAATCCCCTTATATTAATTGATATGCACGACAGATCTCGTCTGCTGAAGAGTTTGGAAAAGGTCCCATTACGACATTTTTCTGTCTTCCATTTGCCTTGGATTGTATTACGGTAATATGACTTTTTGAGATTTAAGTGGATTTTACATGATCCGTTGTGATGATTATCTCATCAAGTCTCAAAGCTAAATGACTTGAAAGTCGTTTTTGTGACGTGCATCATTCCGCAACATTGGTTCCCTAGGACACTTCCTGGCCTAAGCTCTTCTTCCTTGGTGGTATGCTTGACTTAATACTCTGTTCGATCAACTGTACCTCGTAAATGATTGCGACCACAAATTCTGTATATATCAAACACCGCATATCACGGAGCTGTCAGATGTACAACAACATCAAAACAAGTACATCATGTGTATATATCCTGTTTCATTGATGACTCAGAACTTTGAATGACCTTTCATACGTACGGCTCTTGGTTTTCAGCTGACTGATTTTTATCAAATGGTATCAGAATCATGCTTGAAAATTTACGTTTCTTCAACCGTTGAACCTGAATAATGATATATACATGGGACAGCAAATTACAATAAAAAATAACGATGAAAATCGACTCTAGACAAGATTTACGATACATTAATACCGTATTATGTAGTTCTTGTACCCGCTTATTTATATATGTAATTGCATACTGATAAACATGTCTGTAATTTATTGATACGATATATGTCTCAATTATCAAATATGGTCCATTTCATATCATTGAATATAAAGGGCGTATTTAACAACCAGAATTCGTCAGCACAAGTACACGATAGACCGCAATACACGCAACACACCCTGAAACTAGCTTATACTGACATGTGTTGACTTTGCTTAGATTCGTCACTATTAAAACCTTATATCATGAAATATGATAGATATTTTCTTCCATGAGTCTGTAACTTTATCAACACGGGTATTATTTGTATTAAATATAACTATATCGTACGGCAGATTTGTTTACCTATGATTTTATTACATGTATATGGGCGTGTTTCTAATGTTACACTTGTCGTTCAAGAGAGTGCGCAAAGGACTCTGGGAAAGATTGGCAAGTGTAATACTATTTAATAAAGAGTCCCAATTAGCCTGTATCGCTCACATGTATATTAAAGCAAAGATATGATGCCATAGAATCCTTGCTCATGGTGCCAGTAAGCGTCACAAATGAAACAAGAGGCCCATGGGCCTTAACGGTCATCTGACAAAAAGCAAGCCAAACTTAACAGCAGTGAGTCTGCCGTTAAAACAGTGGGCTTTATTCATTTGAATAAACTTGGTAGCCCTTCCTCCCAGCATCCTACAGGCCCAATATCAGCACTCTGAGCCTTTTGGTTACTGAGAAGAAATCGTTTACAGATTTTAACATATTTGAACCCTGTGATCTTGAAAGTGGGTCAAGGTCATTCACTTGAACACATTTGGTAACACTTCCTCAAAAGCATCCTACAGGCCCAATATCAGCACTCTAATCATTTTGGTTATTGAGAAGTCATTTGCATATTTTAACATATTTAACTCCTGTGACCTTGAAAGTGGGCCAAGGTCATTTATTTGAACAAATTTAGTAGCATGTCATCCCAGCATTATCAGCACTCTTGGACTTTTGCTTATTGAAGAGAAGTTGTTTGTATATTTTAACGTAATTGACCCCTGTGACCTTGAAAGTGGATCAAGGTCATTCATTTGAACAAACTTGGTAGCCCTTCATCCCAGCATGCTACAGACCTAATATCAGCAATCTGAGCCTTTTGGTTGTTGAGAAGAAGTTTAAAAAATTCAACATATTTGACCCCTGTGACCTTGAAAGTGGATCAAGGTCATTCATTTGAACAAACTTGGTAGCCTTTCATCCCAGCATGCTACAGACCCAATGTCAGAACTCATGGACTTTTGCTTATTGAGAAGTCGTTTGTATATTTTAATATATTTGACCCCTGTGACCTTGAAAGTGGGTCAAGGTCATTCATTTAAACAATCTTGTTAGCCCTTCATCCCAGCATGCTACAGACCCAATGTCAGAACTCATGGACTTTTGCTTATTGAGAAGTTGTTTGTATATTTTAATATATTTGACCCCTGTGACCTTGAAAGTGGGTCAAGGTCATTCATTTAAACAATCTTGGTAGCCCTTCATCCCAGCATGCTACAGACCCAATGTCAGAACTCATGGACTTTTGCTTATTGAGAAGTCGTTTGTATATTTTAATATATTTGACCCCTGTGACCTTGAAAGTGGATCAAGGTCATTCATTTGAACAAACTTGGTAGAACTTCATCCCAGCATGCTACAGACCCAATATCAGCACTCATGGACTTTTGCTTTATGAGAAGAAGTTCTTTGTATATTTTAACATATTTGATCCCTGTGACCTTGAAAGTGGGTCAAGGTCATTAATTTGAAAAAATTTGTAGGGCTCCATGCCAGCATGCTATGGGCCAAGTATTAGCCCCCTAGGCCTTCTAGTATTTGAGAAGAAGTTTTTTGAATGAAAAGTTTACGGACGACGCACGACGCACGGCTGACAGCGGACGGCGGACGACGACGCACAAAGCACGATGGCTATAGGTCATCTCGACCCTTCTGGTCAGATGACCTAATAAAATGTCAGTTTTCGTGATATGTATTTGTAACAAATGATGGTCACACTTTATAATCTGGAAAGTGTTAATCTTTGGCTTTTCTAACTTCTATAAATTTGTGGTTTCCTAAATCAGGAAAATCTGCATCGCTTCTTCAGAAACCTGCTTGAAAATGACAGGACCCAAAGTCTTCTGAAATTGAAAAGACGCTTAAAAAGGTTATTTTTCAAGTTTTTAACATATTTGACTCCAGCGAAAATATATCAGTCATTTATTGGAGGAAACTCAGTAGCACTGAATCCAAGGCACATGTACCTTAGGGCGATACATCATCACCGTGGATCTTCAGCAAATTGAAATTTGTCTTTACAGTGTACACGTTTGACATTTGTGACCTCGGAAATAGACATTTATATAAGGAAACTTTGTGGCACTAAATCTTAAGTATTAACAGACGTCTTAAAGTTTTAATATAATTTACCCGATTGACATTGGAAATAGGTCAACGTCATTCATATGAGAAAATTGCAATGTACTTCAACCCAGGTTACTCCTGACGAAGTGTCAGTTCCCAGTTGTTTGAAGTGTTCTAGAAGAAGAGTGTAGCCAACACCAATAGGGCTATACAACTGTAGCTCTAAATATCATTGTTCAATCAAAGTAGTGAATACACTCTGACTTTTGGTGTAGATTAATCTTTCACATACATTTCACATGCATGTAAAACAAGTGATATTTACTGCAAACATGAACTGGACATGGTTTACACATATTAAAAAAAGGAATATATCTTCAAAAACCTCCTATGATTATGATAACAATGCTGGCTTGACATTAACTAACCTTTCTTTGAAGTTTAAATCTCCATTTCTAATTACATTACACTACTCATTAATTATCGATGGCCATACCACCTGAAAAAAGTCTGATATTATTGGTAATCCTATTTCATTCCTTTAAACTAATATTTTCCTATTTTTCAACTCATTTATTGATCATTATCCACTGTGGTAAGTAGACAGCATCTTGAATTCATAAAGGGCCATAACTCAAAACATTATGACACCATAATATCATTCATTCTACTTGTACATATTCATACTCAACTGTTCCTAAGTTTACAGTCTGATATTCACCTACTTTATATTAGATTGGACACTGTCTGTTCTCTGTAAAGGGCCATAACTCTAAAGCATCAAACTGTCATATCCAAATTAGTTTTCACACAAATTTGACAACCGATTCAGTGATAGCTATTTGATAATGCACTAAAGGACCCTGAGTGGACATAGCACACACAATTAATAACTTAACATTTTTCTGGTAAAACTAGAGAATATATTGTTACATTTACAAAGATTTAAAACTACAGTATTCTCATACAATCTCACAAGCATATTTATTTAGAATCAGATATATATCACATATTTAAATCTTGGATCGCATCTAATTTATAACAGCAGTCCGTTGATGTGTGCTGCTCTGATAACTGTGTTGAGATTTGTTAAAGTCTTGAACAGTACTGGTGTATAACGGTCTTCCATGTAAAACTTGAGATGAACAGGAAGTAATCTGAAATGAAAATTCAAGTTAATCAATTACAATTCCACTAATTAATTCTGTGTTCATTTTATCTTTAATATGTGATTCAATTACAATTTTTGAAGATGAAACTGTTTATTCCAATTGCATTTAACAGTCAGATTTTACAAGAGGTTTAATTAAGAAGCTAACCATCATGAATGCCTGTGACACTAATACTAACTCCAATTTTCAATAAATTCATATTAGATATATTTCTATCTGGCCATAAAAGTACTTTCTCTGTTTGGCAGTTCAGGTAGAGAACTTTGAAACCATCAGTTAAAGAGAAAGAAATGCTGATTTTAGTTTCAGTGGAAAAAAATTTTTTGATTACAGAAGGGTTTTTCTTCAACTTCAACTTTTTTATGATTTATTGATATTTTTCTCCTTATTATCAAATACAAATCTTTCACAATTAAAAGCTTTCTTGTAAATACACAAATATTACAACATAAATCATCCTGTTCTTTAAAAGTGGCAAAATTTTGTTAACAGTGTTTTCATAGTTATACTTTGTTAATAATGTTTTCATAGTTATATTGCATTAATAGTGTTTTCATGGCTATATTTTGTTTAATAGTGTTTTCATGGCTCTATTTGTTTAATAGTGTTTTCATGGCTCTATTTGTTTAATAGTGTTTTCATGGCTATATTCGTTAATAGTGTTTTCATGGCTATATTCGTTCATAGTATTTTCATGGCTGTATTTGTTTAATAGTGTTTTCATGGCTGTATTTGTTTAATAGTGTTTTCATAGCTTCATTTTGTTTAATAGTGCTTTCATGGCTGTATTTGTTTAATAATGTTTTCATGGCTGTATTTCCTTAATTGTGTTTTCATAGCTACATTTTGTTAATAGTGTTTTCATAGCTACATTTCATTATTGTTTTCATAGCTATATTTCATTATTGTTTTCATAGTTATGCTTCGTTAATAGTGTTTTCATGTCTATATTTTGTTAATAGTGTTTTCATGGCTATTTTTTCATTAATATCTTTATGTCTATTTTCTAGTCATTTAAGAAATCTGAAAACCATGAGTATAATTTAAGTTTCAATTTTATCGGAACAGGATATCTAAAAATAATTATTTGGTGTTGGACTGATTAACTGTCAAGTTTTATTAATCTTGACAGAAATTCAGGTCACAAATAGCGAGACTTATCAATCAAAATTACATGTATCTTTTTCATGAAGTCATTACCTCAGTGACAACGTAGTCTCCAGGTTTAAGATTTAAGTTGTTCTCAGCTGATGCTCCACTGCTTGCCAGAATCACTTTGGTGTTGCCATCATTTCTACCTGCCATGTCATCATTGGATCTTTTACTTACCTGTATATAAAGCAGATATATCAGAGTGGTTGTCAAGGACACAAGGATTTGCATTTCAACGTTTACTATTAAAGAAAATTTTATCAAATTCAAGTGTAAACATGAATCTACCTTAGGGTGGTTTTGTAGTAACACACTTGCCTTTCACCTTGTAAATGTCCTTGACTAGTGATGTCGATCAACAAAGTAGTTTAATAGTTACTTTTTGAGTTAAACATTCCCGAAGCCGGTTTCTTGATTAGCTCCAACTTTCAGAAATTGTGTTATCCCTACTTTATTCCAGTCTAGGATAAACTCATATTTAATCCATGAATCGTGCTTAATTCAAGATTATCAAGTTTTCAGTATATTCTGTACAGACATCTTAAAATATATTTTATATATCATATCACTGAGTTATAACTGAATCGTGACTGAATCAACCTCTGAGGTGAGGAAGTATCCTGAAACACTTCCTAAAGTTCTGTGAGTATTTCCTTTTTTCGACCTTGGAATATTAGGGGTTTGAAATAAAAGAAAATTAGCTTTGATATTTGATGGCATCTTTCCTCTTTGTTTCCATTGTAACAGCACCTATTCACAATAGAATAATGCATTGATACTTGAAATTCTCGCACTGTTAACCATCAAATGCACAAACCAGACATTCTCAGGGCTAACAAAATTTTAAAGTCACATGACTGAATTGACTAAAATTCGAGAAAAGCTTCCTCATTTTCAGCTAACTGGAAAAACAGCTATTCTGATTTATTCACGGGATCAGGGATCATGCGTTTAGTTTTTAAATGATACAATATACATTGACCATTGCAAACAGTTAAAGACTTACTGATTCCACCAACACAAGTTGTTCCTGTCCAATCTGAGCCTGGTTCCGCTTCAGAGCCCCTTCCCGAAATACTTTTGTAATCTCTTGATGACGTCGCCTCTTGACATCATCAGGAACATCATCTTGTAACTTGTGGTAGGCATGTGTCTTCTGTAATACAGAATTACAGTATTATATATTGCAAAATATCAATCCATTAATGGTGATTATATCTCAGGATTTCTGGCATATAAAACAATGTGGTTAATAATTTGCATGTCAAATGCAATATATACATGTTTTTTTTCTTATAAATATTCTGAGTGTGACAATGCAACGACGGTTTTCTTATTAAATCAACTTATCATGGACTTAGATTTCTATTTAAGGTTGAGGCTATGTACAAATTTAGAATGCCCAACCATATGTGACAGCAATTAACCCTGTGTGGAAAACCTTTTGATAACTCCACAACATTTCCAAAACCGAGTGATGTTACTTTGTTCTATTCTAAGTTTTTTTCTTTAAAACTGACCTCTCTAGTTGTCAATTAGCACATGACAAAATTTAAAAGAATGGTGGAAAAAATTAAAACAACTTAATCATATTGATGGATAATGCAAGAGGCCCACTGGGCCTGTGTTTCTCACCTCGTATTATATGTGTTCACAAATACAGATCACATCAATTTGATCCCTGTGACCTTGAATATGGATCAAGGATCAATTTTTTTTTTTTTTTTAATTTCGTCAAGCTTCATCCCAGGAACCTACCACCCACATATCCTAATCCTAGGCCTTTAACTTAAGAAGTCGTTTCAATGGAAAAAATTGATGCAAATCTTAAAGACAACAGATGCTGCAAAAACTTCAGGCCCTATGAATTAACAGACATCAATATGCTTGCAGTAATTCTTACACACAGTCATACGGGAATGAACTTGATCTAATAATTTAGCTAATACTTTTAAAACACATGATAAACTTATTCTACAGCTACTTTTCCAACAAAAATTACATTTCATATAAATCATAAAATACATTATCTATTAAGCAAAAGGCCGTAATTATAAGAGAATGAATGATGGAATACCGTTTCTGTGAAATCAATATCAATTTTAAATTTAGTTTGTAGATATATACAACTGACATTTTAATAAACAGTGTTTAAATAAACTTACATTTCTCATACTGTAGGGAAACATAAATACAAAGTTATATTGTACGATGTTCATCAGTGACAGAGTGTCCTCGTGGTCTGCCTCAGTCTCTCCACAGAATCCCGCAATAAAGTCACTGGACAGTGATACGTCTAAAACAAATCAACCAACACATTGTAATATGTTATGTTTAACAGCATAGTTGGATGATGAAAATTCAGATTACTTGTAAAAAAAAAGTAAGGTTGAACATAAGCAAAGAAGTAAAATCCAATATATGGTGGAGAGTGACAAAAATTTGTCCTGCATCTGAGGCCAAGCATGTGTCCAATCAACTGTGCCATTGCTGATATAAAAATCACTTCTTGGATTTTATTTGGAATGGCTTAATTTGCTGCTATCTCTTAGAAGACCTATTGGAAGGTACATTGCAGTAGCTATTTAAAACAAAACAAAAAAAGGACTCAAGGGACCATGTTGCATATGAATGATATGATACCCCTCCATGCAAGTCTGTTCTTACATACCTCAAGAATGGAAACTAAAGAGCATATTTATGTAGAAATACGAAGTATCAAACTGTATTATAGCCCCAATTTTTTCTGAATATCCACATATACTGCCCCCAGTTTGTATATGTGATTGAAGTGTCAAACACCTACATGCATAGGTGATGATGAAATTTCAGCTTTTATTCTGGCAATAAATACTTGGCCAATTTATCAAAGGAATTCATCAAAACTTATACTGCCATAATGTGATGGTTTTTGGTTTCGCAAGCTTGTGTCTGGGCTTCTCAAATAACTATTTTATCATTAATTCATTTCATGGTTAATTTTCTTTCCAGTCATTGTTTATATATGTACTGATTTACCTGGTATAATATCCCAGATGTGATGTACCAGTTCCAAGTAGGACTCCCGTGAGTAGCCACGTCGCATGGCCTGAAGCACAGCTGTACTGCCACTCTGGGCAGGTAGGTGAATTTGATTACAGATGTTTGGCTGATCTTTCATCATATATAGGACCTGTTGATCAGCAACAAGCTTAATAATGTCTGATGTTATAACTTACAGGAAATATTACAGCAACTATACTCAACCATGTTTCATATTCAAATGTTACAGTTAGGAGAATCAGTCAAAAATATTGTACTCACTAGCTAATGTTAGTTACATGTCAAGTCTAACCAAACATCTGGTAGCTACACATTACCAGTGTTACTAATAACTGTAATATGTACTTTAACTCTAAATATACTGTGACCAAAGATAACTGAAACATTTTTCTTTATTTCTAAATATAGGGGTAGGTAACTCTCTTTCATTCCATTTGACTTTGCCACATGACCAGCTAATAGTGAAATACGTAACAGAATCACTGCCTACCTCGTCTGGAAAGTCTTTTGGATGTGGTGAGGTGAATCGAATCCTCATCTCTGGGTCTACCCTTGATACTGCCTGTAACAAATCACTGAATCTTCGCCCTCCAACCTTTGGCTTGTAAACTGTCTTAAATCCTAAACTATTTTTTGTTGGAGTATTAGCATCAAATCCACCATAAAACTTGGACTCTGATTTATCCAAGTAGCTATTGACATTTTGCCCAAGCAGTGTGATTTCTTTTAACCCCTGAAAAAAGTGTCAATCAATTGTTGATTACAGAATCTAATTTTACTAATTCAAATTTTTAACAAGTTGGAAGATCTCCTTTCTTTGTGCTGTCACTCATAAGTAAGATCTTAATCTATAATAAATAAGAGATACAAACGTACTTTTGATCAACTTATATCTTATACTATCTACCTGAGCAAACCATGCACAACTTTCCACATGGAAAGAAACTGGAACCTCTGATAGAAAATTCATGTGCCTGACAGCACAGACTTCAATCCAACTGTAGAATCAAACAATACTACATAGCCATCTTTTTAATCCACTTTACTGATTTCTGGTTTGTATCTCTACAAATAAAAACTTAAATTTTCTACACAAAGATATATGCTTCTGCTCAGACAAAAGACACAATTTTAGTCAAACTTGTTGTCTACATATTTCTATCTAAATAAATTACTTGCCTGATCAGATAAGGCCTGGACCTCTTCCACTATCGACGCTATGGGGCGACTCCTTTCCTTGCCCCTAGTGAATGGCACAATACAGTAGGTACACATGTTGTCACAGCCTCTCATGATAGACCTGTGAATAAAATACTCAAGACTCTCATACACATATGAAAATCAATGAAATTTGTGGATGGGTTGTCTGATATCAGGTGAATATTCAATCAAGACATCGTAAATGTGATAAGATAAGTCTGTTTCTTACTCAAAACCCTAAGAAAGGCTGCATTTCTGATCTTATCTTGAAAATATTTCAGATTTGTCCAGGTTTGGGTTAAATGCCATATGATTTAATTACATATATGTAATATTAGTTGCCATAGTATTGATACACTTTCTGAAAAACTAAGCTCAACACATCTTAATGTTTATGAGGTTGCCAAAACTGATAAATGGAAAAGATTTGTAATTGATAACTCATTCATAACTTGAGTGGGGGGGGCCTATATCTTTGAGAGTAACAGCAGGCACATTGCATCATTACAATACATCTAATCAACAGCAAATTTAACACGCGACAAGCACTGACTGTCATATTTCTTTCATTTATATTTTTATATAAAGAACAACTTTGTTTTAAAAATGATTTGGAAAATAATTGCAGAAGTTTCAAACATTCTCAATATTCTATCCACAAATCCATATTAAAAGTACTCAGAACATAAAAGTACCTACACAAATGCAGAAGGTGAATCTTTTTTTACTCGAACTGGCATCACATCAGCATATGTCTCGTCGAATGATAACATCACATTCACTGTAAAGGAACATTGTCAAATACATTATATTAAAATACCTCACCAAACTGTCAGGAGTTGAAATGTATTCAATATGTTGTGAGCAATAGAAACAAAAAACTTTATTCATCTAATGACAAAATCAGAAATTCATAAGTTTTCATAACTCTGTCTGGAATTTATATATACAATGTATATGAATTACCAAGTTACATTTCTCAACCAGTAGACAAACACAGCCATACATACACAAAGAGAGTCATGTGTTTCAACAAAGTTATGGCTTCTTGTATTTCTTGTATAGTTTTCAAGTTACAAAGAATTTAACGCTCGAGTGTTGTACCTGACTGGTGAGAAATTGTGTAATAACTGACTCACTGCATCCTTCTCAATTATTGGACTAAGATGAATTCCTCATAAAATTTCTTTTTAAAAAATGCACAAATTTGGTCTGAATCTGATAATAAGGCGAGTGACAACATAACAATATTGTACCAGCTGCCTGTCCAGTTGATGTGACATCCAGTAGACGAGGGAGGTCTTTGTAAGCGTCAGGCCCACACACGATGTCTACAAGTTTGTCTTTCTCTATGATCTTCTTCTTTAGATTTTCAGCCATACACCCTGAAGGATAATCAGTAATAACATTTTAATGTTATTCTTTCTACAGTGACATGCTATTTATGTATTCTTTGGACTTTCTCAATTTGAGTTTCCAAATGTGGATTCTTACAAATGTCAATCTTATAAATTACACCCAATATAAGCCTTTCTATTTTCTATTTGATATAAATCATGTTTCACAGTGTTATCTAAAGAATACAAAATATTAACTGACTTCCATTTTCCATCTATTAAGCATTTCATTTATGACTACATCACTGTATCTACCCTGTAATGTATCTCAGGAAGCCAACAAATTTCTCTGACTTGAAGTTATAATATGCATATTACAGGATGTTGAAATAGTAGCCTACTGTTGGTTGGTAATTCATACTGAACATTCAGAGATACAAATGGGCTTATTACCAGACATGGGCTTACTCCCGAATAGATATGGTAAATTATCTGAAGAGATTTTACGTTTACAACCAATAATGACAGAACAATACATTCTAAATGGGTTTGCTGCAGTTATCTTCCCATACATATCCGGAGTCATTTGAGGTATGGCTACCACACTAGACAACATACCAGAGACTTGTCGCATGTCATTCCAAAACAATAAGAACAAGATCATAACAAGACAGACCTGTCTTTTACTCAGCTTCCAGAGACAAACAAACTGTCAACAGTAGAGAACTTCAAACCATGCTTCTCCGACACTCTAAACAGACTGAGTTACAGTGGACACTTAGAAAATAAACTAAAATTTAAGTTTTGGAATTTATAGTACCAAGTTTTCAATTTTTTCCAGTTTAGGAAGATTTTGAAAACAACTGATGTGCACCTACCTAAAATACCAATTTTCATGGATGATTGCTTCTTTTTCAGCGATTTGTAGTATTCTAGACGTTTCCAGATCTTTTGTTCAGCACCTTCCCTGATAGAGCAGGTCATCATGAATAGGACATCAGCCTTTTAAAGATATAGATATAACTATGTATGGTGTCATAAACATGACACTCAATTCACATGAATAAATTCATATTGAATAACACTGGTGGTGATGTTCCATAATGAAACTAATGTATCAATATTTTCTTACTATATTGTACCTCTTTCACATTTGTTGTCATTTCAAATCCATTTTTCTCCAGGATAGCCATCGCTATTTCTGTATCATTCACATTCATCTGGCAGCCATAGGTTTCAAAGTACACTGAAGGAAAATGTCAGGAATGCAAGTTATATGTGTTGTTTATCTGATAGCAATATTAATAACATTCAGGTGCACTAATGAATCAATTACACATGAATCATCACAACTGTAAGGCTTAATGCTTGCTTCTTTATTGTTCTCCTACAATCTGATAGAAATTGTATACTGATCTAAGCTCCATTCCACAGACTACAATCTACCAGTGAATTATGTTGTACATGTGATAAAACCAAATCTAAAAAAGCTATCTGTACCAACAAGTTGAACTAAATCTATCATAAATCTATCAGTTTGTTATACATATATATTGAGAAGATGTTTATTTTTCAACTCAAACAGCAACTGAAAATTATTTGGTGAGATTTGGAAAATGTCTGTTTCCTTTACCAAGTAAAGGGTGCAAATGATTGAGTCTTGCCAACAGAAAATGGACAAAATTGTGAAGTCAGCAAACAAATTGTCAGAAGGTATTTTTGGCCCTGTCATATAAGAATGCAATTGGGATGAAAATGTGTCATGATCATGACAACTTGACAGTTGATTTTACACTTTTGACCACTATCATTAGGAATCAGTCATTTTCACTCTTTACTTGATAAAGGAAACAGACATTTACAAAGATTCCCAAAATAAAGTTTTCAAATGTTTCTCAATACACAAAGTAAAGTACTCCCTGGTCAAGTAGTATACAGACATATTGCAGGATTTATTTACAAGGTCACATATACTCCATCTCCAGAAAAGAACTTGTGTTCAGGTTTATTGCACTACTTGTGCAGCAAGGACGCAAGGCTAAGCATATCTATCAATAACTTATAAGTGTCTATGTACAATGGACTCCAATGTAACATACATTATTTATCTATTCCAATGTTTCTGCTAGGAATTCGAAACCAGGACATTTGGCTGTAGATATAATTTCTCATCTCTTGAACATGATAGGTTTCAGCTATTGATTTTAAAATGAAAAAAAAAACATCGTATAAGTATTCACACTAATAGCTAACAAGTCTTGCTAGCTAAAGAGAAGTTGTGTGTTACAGACAGCACACCCGGTTTTTGGTTTTTTGTTTTCTTGTGGGTTTTTTTTCCTTTTTCTTTTAGTCAGGATGGGTCCATGCATGTATTTACCTACAAACTGTAGCAAATTATCAAGGCCTTGTGACTAGGGTGGGGGTGGGATGGGGCATTTGAGTTAATCTTGGTTATTGAATGATGGGATGAAGCAAGTTGACACCTTTTCTGTTTTCCTTCTCTATTTGAACGGGAGCATACGGAACTTCTTCTGTGTCAACAGTGACATGATCGGTGTGAGCTGCTCCTGTAAGGAAAGTCTTGAAGGGAAGAGGGTTGTTGATCAATCGGGTCCTATGGTCAGCTGTCCCTGGGCTTTTGATTGGTGACGGTTTGTCAATGTCACAAGCACGGTATTGCTTCGTTGTTGCCAAGAATCTGGTCGAAGTTTCCCTCCGGACGCATATTGGAATATCCACATTCCGCCTTAAAAGCCTGCGAAGAAATTTGGCGTTGAGTGAAGTTGACATTTGTCAGGTAGATCAGCAAAACGATATCGACCTTTTTGTTATTTCTACAGTGGGAAAGTGTTATGCAGAACTTCTCGGGAGTTTTCATATCTCAAACACAGTCATCTTCTTTTCGATACGATCATTGTGAAATTATCGCTTGGATTTCATTGCGTATGTGAATATATACCAATCAAGCATCCAAGAGACCAGAATGAAAATATAACATGGCCGCTCACAGATGATGAAACACGCTGAAATTATTATTAAAAATATGGTGGCATGACATGGTTCTATTTAAAAACTCATTAAATGCTTTGAAGAAATCATTTCCTTGTGGTATATCAACAATCATGGCGAAGGTTATAGACATAAGTAACCACGGTAAGTGGAACATTTTGATGTAGAAATGGCAATTTGTCCGTACGATGTGAGAAGTATATGTTATACTTTATTATTAGATTTCATAAAAATCTAAAAGACTAATTTATCCAATTTCATATTACTTTGTACATGATTTTCAGAAGTATGACAATGCATGGTATCATTTTTCCATTAGCACCATTACTCATATCGGACAAGGTTTGCCACAAAGTTGATATTTATTTTACCATATACACTGTTTTTAAGAGATTCTATATTTTGAAATATTGTCATTAAGGAGGAGTAAACAGAAAGTTACAAGAGCCACGTACTGCGTAATTTTCAGTTACAATTTTTGCATTTATTTATGACATTTAAGCTTATTTTGCTATTTTTCTATCTTGCTTCCCATAACTTTACTGTTAAACCGGTAAATCAAAACACTGTAGCCCGCATAAAACTTTTTCTTTTAATTTCAGATTTGCAACATTTGGTTTCCTTGGCAACCCAAAGCCTTAAGTCAGGAAATATCATAGCAGTACCGACAGACACCATATATGGGGTTGCAGGCCTAGCTCAAAGAAACGATGCTACTAGTAAAATCTATCAACTGAAAAACAGAGACTTGAAAAAGCCAATCGCAATAAGTGTTGCCGATATTGATGATGTGTACAGGTATGCATGTACTGGACATGTATTGTTTTATACAGAAAATAAAAAATATTGATGTCATGATAATTACAATGATTCATGGCAATTTTATTTAGACTAAGAGCTGTGAAAAATATGAACTGTGAACATACATTGCATATGTATGTATATTACTTTTTATTTATTGATTGAATTATTGATGATCAAGAGAATGAATGTTTACATCACAATGACTGATAATCATTAGGTTATATCAGATCAATCTATATATAGATCATGTGATGCATTGAAACTAGAGTTGTAATATAGTGGTCAATGAATTTTACTTTACTTACTTCATAAAAGTATACACATTTTTACACCATCCTGTGTACTTCTTTTTAGTATTTCTAACATGAATTAATTTCCAGCCTTTTCTACACATATAAACAGCAACTATCAGTAAATAATACAGAGAACAAAGACTGTCTGTGCTCTGATTCCATAAATACTATACCTTTGTTAAGATTTCTTTTTAAAATCTTTATGTAGGTGGGGCCATGTGACTGTGTCCAGAGAATTACTATCAGAACTTCTACCGGGCCCTGTCACTGTTGTATTCGAAAGAAAAGATGACCTGAGCCCGAGTTTAAATCCTGATGCATCCCTTATAGGGATCAGAATACCTGACCAACAGTTCATCAGATCTCTTGCCAGAGCATGCCAGGAACCAATCGCCTTGACCAGTGCAAACATCAGTTCTGCTCCAAGCACTGTGTCTGTAGAGGTAATTTTAGAATGGACACTAAGGCTGTTGCCCGTTAGTCACAGGAAATGTTGAAAAGAAGGTTTTAATTTGCACAGCTGATTTAGCCATTTCGATAAGAGTCTTTTGTGTCATTGTAGTGTTAATGCATTGTTACACATGAATGATTTATCACTAACACAAAAAGAAGAATAACATATTGAAGCAATTAGATTTTTCATGTAACATCAAGTGCCCCTGTGATGCATTTTAAAAGGCCAAAAATTCAAATGTTATGTAAAACTAGAAACATCTGATCTATAAGCTAAGTGACCTATTAAGCTTCAATCAATACAACAATGGACAGAATCTGATGATGCAGCAAACTTAGATTAGATATTTTTTACAGGAGTTTCATGAGTTGTGGCCCACATTGGACCTGGTGTTTGATGGAGGAATGCTGGGAAATACAACCGAGTCTAGGCAAGGGTCTACTGTTGTAGACCTGTCACAGAAAGGAGTCTACAGAATCATACGGGATGGCAGGTAACTTGAATGTTCAGAAAATTTCCTCTAAAACAATCCTTTTACATGTGTTATATAAGGAATCTAATTGAAATGTTTGTAATGTGGATAAAGTTTTTCATCCAAAATTGCTCAGACAGTAGTGAAACTAACACTCTGTCAGATTAAAATTTGTGCATTATGTATTGATGTGATTTTCAATTAGCAGTCATCCTTTTTGAAATAAGATACAGAGATACTCAAATTGAAATCCATTGTAATGACATTCTCATAAAGTCCTATTGATATTCAAAAGATGTAAAAATACTGTTGTTCATGTTCTTTTTCTTGATGTCATTATCAAAACTAAGATAAAAACAAAAATCAGCTTTCAATGCAATAACAAAATATAGTTTTATTTGAAGTACTTTTTACTCCAAAGTCCCTCTAACTTGATGTTCCTAAAAGTTTTATTTTCTTTTAAGTGCACTACGACCTACATCAGATTTATTGGAGAAATATGGACTTAAGAATGGGAAAACAATGGAATCATCAGATGATGCAACTATAACAGTCAGATAGCAGAAATGAGAAGAGACACTTCTTTCCAAAAGGATCTGTGATATTTCCTTAATATCTGTATCACATAGAACATTCTAAATTTTCACATCTTCAAGAAGTGTGACAATGGTTTACATTTTTTATTTGACTTTTGACAAATGAAAATCATTCAACGAGGTTGCCACCAATCTACATAGTGTATTACTCAATTTCACCTGTCAGGAATTCTCAGGGTGTTGGTTATCAGAAGGAATATACTTCCAGATGAAAAAACAAATAATCTCAAAACTCCCTTTTGAATTCAATATTTTATTGTTGTTGACAAATAATCTATATGACAGTGTATTGATATATCCCATTTATGTATATGTACCGGTATTTTGATGTCTAATGAATAATGCATATATGCCCTTTGCAGGATGAAGGTACATGTATTACTGTCTACAAGTATTCCATTAGACAAAAAATAATAATATATGTGCTTCAGACTATCTACGTCCTTGAAGATCAAATCACTATATGGAACTTTTTCCTATATTTCTGCAACATAAACATATTTATGATATACAGTATGTTCACATGATCACCTGGGATGATTGTTAACATTTTATGGAAGTAGGAAGTCACAGCAGAGTCTGTATTATCTAGGCCCTTTACAATCTGAACTTTTGGATACAAAACAAATCGGACTATAGAAAATGTGGACCCTTTTATTCATTGCTAATTAAGTTTAACTGCAGATTAAGACAAAAGAATTTATTTTTTAGTAACTTGCGTACTTGTTGCAATAGCTTGTAATGGAAAGAGATTTCTCCTCAAAAATAATGTATGGTGTTCTCATCGTTACAGAGATTTCAATCCTCTTTCTTCTTAGTTATATAAACAACTTTCTATGGTGATCTTATTCAGTTTGTGTCGGTTTCTAAAGTGGCAGTTTAGACAAGAGCAACAGTCCAAGGGAGACTAATCTAACCAAAAGCATATACGTTTGAGGAAAAATATCCATGGAAGCTCAGATTTGACTGGGTAGCCCCATGTTATAACTGGTGTGTTTATTGACAGAAAGTCACAGATAGGTAATATCTTCATCAGTGGGCTTTGCATGTATGGACTTAATCACCTGTTCTCAATATTTGATTGCTATATACAATATATTCCCTCAAACATTTGCAATAACACAAAATATAGGTACTCAAAACAAAAAAAAAAAAACATGTTTTGAGAAAAATGTTTTTGTCTGTGAAAATGGCCTTAAATTACAATATTAAGATTAAATATTATGTATGGAAACTGATTATCTGGTATTTTACAGAAGATTTTGTATATATCAATTATTGAGTAACTGCTTAAAGTAAATTCCAGTTATTTTCCACTTTTAATTTCCCCAGAACTTTCAGCCTCTATGTACTTGTACAAGTTCAAATCACCTTATTTGTTTTTACAGCAATACGTCACCCACTGGTCCAATCAATTTCCTATCCAGAAGATCAGTGTGTTTTTGATTTCTCAATAAATTTAAATTTTCAATAGCATTTGGCTTCTCAACATGACAAACTTAATTCCATTCAATTATTTAATTTATGTTCTTTGACTTTAACTGCTGCCACACATTTGACTGCTATCTACTCTTGACCCTGAATGACGTATCAGGATTTAAAAAAAAGTTTTGTGTTACAATGTACCACCAATAACATTGCTCTGGGACAATTGTTTGGGGACCAGTTTTATTTACATCTTTTTTTTAATGTTAATAATTTTTGCTCTTCATAAACAAGCTTTGATAATTTTAACATCCAGATTTTAAAGGTTATCGTAATTTGTACATAAAACACTGCTTTGAATAATGATTGCATTTTGTACATTTTTCCTTTGATATATATGTTTACTGTGGTTGTGTTATCACTGCACTAACTATATGAATATTAATTACAGTATATAACACACCAAACTTTAAAAAAAAAACAAAAAAACAAAAAACAAAAAAAAACATTCTTGGATCACCTCTGACTTGTTTATGTGTATACAACAGACCTTTAAATTCTTCATCAAATATTACATGTATTTGTATATGGCAGCATTTACATACAAATTTCAATCCGATTGTTAATTAACATCAGTGATGTTCAGTTTCACATATAAATTTCTGTCTGATGGTGACTAAACCTCACCGATGTTCAGTTTTTACATACAAATTTTGAAATGGTCTAAGACGTTACTTTAAGGTAGTGATCAGTGTTCAAATACTGGAGACTTGGTTTCATAAGAAGATATAAAATTAAAAAAAAGACAACAATGATATACTTGCTATAACATGATTCTAGGAATCTGGTTTCTAACATTTATCCTACATTTCTATTAGAATTTAATATCACAAACTGTAATATTGTTTCTGAGGATTCAATTTCTCATAAAAAGTAAACTTGTTTATTTAGATACATTATATTTGAAAAAATCAGTTGTCAGGTATTTACATGTACATTTGATGTCTGTGATATAGCTGTATTTTCTAATAAATAATTTTAAGAGAATGTTTTGGTGTATGTTTTTTTTTTTTTAATTCAAGCACTGGTGATTATTCAGTAAGTTGTATTTTGTGCTCCAGTTTTGTAGCATAGTGTCCTTGCATGAAATGATATTCTTTTGTGATATTACTGATCAGTCCAGGAGAACTAGAGTTATCATGTGGAAAGCAAATTAATGTCGAAAATAAATTCTCTATTATGGTATAAATACCAGTGACTTCGACCAATCTTGACATTTTAAATACAAAAACTATTCTCAAAATAGAAAGTCCTGTTGTTTAAAAAAGCTTCGTCCTGCATGATGTACAATGTTTTACAAAGGGTTGCAACGATGTGCATGACGCCGTGTTTCCCCAAGATCGCGATCTGCATGTAGATTTTTCAAAAAAGAAAATACTTCATTTCAAAATTTCTAAAAGAAATGGTAAGTTTTTTTCCAATCAACAAACACTTCTCTAAGCATTGGCGAGAACTGGTACCTGAAGAGAACACAAAACACCAAAATAGTGATTAAAAACCAAACACAATGAAGTACAACAACAATCTGTCTGTCGATCTGAAGGTCATTCTGCATGTCATATCAAGATTATTTTGTAGTGACATACAGAGTTAACTCCCCTGAATTATTCAACTCGTAGAAAAGAAAAATGGCGTCGGTTTTGACTTGCTGTTCAAAAAGGAAGCCCGAAATCAAAGGTAAAGACGGGATCTCGGTGAGTTCTTACTCGTAAGTAGTCTAATAAGTGTAAAAACGAGTATTTAATAATGGTTGTGATTGAATGGAATGACATAATGTACCAATAGACAATCGAAAGGCAGACAGTGCTGCATTGCACCGGTGTTACCGGTAAAATATACCAACTATCTTAGTGCAAGTTGAGCCGCGGGAACTCCTTCGTTCGGGAAAAAATGTATTTGGGTTAAATCAAATTAAGTCCATTTCAATGCATGTGCTGTGATATAACATATGGGTTATTCAATAAGTATTGTGATTTAGGTGTTTATGTGCAAAATAGAAAGCATTTTGTGTGTGTGAAACTAATGGGAGGGGGGGGGGTTCTGAACTAGTACTGTACTGTACTAGTACTGTAGCATGAAATATAGGCCAAATGTACATGTAGATTGAAAATAGTAAGGTATTTACTGTATACTGTACATGTATATATGCTTATACATCTCAAGCTAAAAATAGTTTTCTAATGCATTCACACTCTTCCACCCACAGGTTCCAAGTACATCTAAAGCGTAAATGTAAAATTTCATTTGTATATTGTAAAATCAATATTTTTTGCAGAGATTTGAACTTTGTTGAATTGCCAAAGGCAAGAAAGAGCAGTTTGAAATCAAAAGAGTGGAAAGCAGGATTGTATCCGGTGGAAATCCTGTCCAGTCCAGAAGATGGTTATGTCAAAGTTCATTTTACAGGTATGTTGTATGTAGTAAATACTATTGATAATTATTGCTTTCAGCATTTTGTTGACTTTTTTATTATTTATTTTTAACTGTATACATATAATATATGCATGCATAAACTTTCATCATTAGGTGTGTAACATTTAACACAGGCTGTTGAACAGTAACACAGTTATGTTCTATAACTTAAAAACAAATTACCAATGTTATACCATTAATTAAGAATCTTCAGGATTTTTTTAAACTCAAGTCTCCTTATATATATGCATAAATATGTGATCATTAACACTTTCGATACATGATTAATATTATATCATTGTATATAGAAAAATCTGTATAATCAAATGTAATCTTTCAATTCCTCTAAAGAAAATCTTATGTCAGCCTTGTAAATACTAGCTGTTTCCTACCAACTCAGCTAGGGAGATCTTGTTATCTCATTCGGTAAAGTGTAACACTAGTTAGCGAGAGCAGGGACATATAATACGTATACTCTGTTATATACGTCCCTGGTGAGAGGTCATGAGTTCGACTCCTAGTGACGCATTAAGAAAATTAATAATCTCTGTTACTCTTATGATAGTTTCGTCTGCTTTTTCTTCTTCTTCTTCATCTTAAAAAAATTATCAGGTATCAATGGTTCAATCATAGTAATACATTTTTGTTTGAAAACATTAATTTTAAAAACTACCTGGAGTAATACCTCCCTTGACAAAATAACACTATGGGATCATATTACATGTAATGAAATGAAATACAAAACATTTTTCGAACAAAATGTTACAAATGTACCTTCTCATTTAACTCCCTGCCAGAAATTGAACGGATATTGGGGAGAGGAGGGGGAAAGAAATTGTTTGAAGTCACTTCAAGCTAATAATTCAATGTACCGGTAAATGGTTTTTGCACACTAGATCAACAGGTGTATTTGATAAAATGCATCATTGAAATTTGTCATAGTTTATTTATGATGTAAAATCTTTATTGATAGGATGGAGTGCAAAGTATGACACTATCATCAAAGAGGCAGAACTTGAGACTAATGAATGTGAGGGGACACAGTCAATTGTGAATGTGGGTTCAATG